AGGCCATTTCTGTCCAGGTCGATGGAGGCCGCCTCGCACGGAAACTCAGCGGGCACCCGCAGGAGGCCCGCACGATCGCAACGCACGTAGCAGCCTCGTTCCACGCTGCTGCAGGTGCAGGCTGCAGGGCAGGCCTGCAAACAGGCCCCGGTGGCCAGGGTGCAGGGCAGGCCGAAGACCATCGCTGGACAAGAGAAGAAGAAAAGATGGAGAACAGTCGTCAGAGGTCACCCCAGTAGCAGGTTACAGACCCTCCACCGAGCACTGCATCATCAAATGGCCTCTTCCCATCTGCTAATCAATACAGGTGGCCCCACTTCCAGTGCCCTCCCCTTTGCTCGCCAATTACCTTAATCAGCAAAATCTATACCATAGTCCCTGCGTCCCGCTTTTCTCTAAGTTTCCTTACCTGTATCATCGAGGTGTGCTTTTAGAATGTGACTAGAGGATTTGTTGGTTGTGTGGGTTAGGGGGATCTCAGAGGGTGTCACTATACCCTACATTAAGGCCTGTGCTCCCCAGTACAGTGACCAGTAGCCACATTGGGTCCCTAACCATCTGAAGTATGCCCAGCCCAAATTGAGTAATACCAGTCTATAGAGGGTGCCAAAAAAGTAGAATATTACATCAACAATTATGTATGGGTTACATATTGAAATGGTGTCTTATATTATACATTGGGTTAAATATTTAAACTTAATGCCCAATGTTTCTACCTTTTTAATGTGGCTACTTGGGAAATGTGTTTACATGTGGGGCTTGTGTTATATTTCTATTGGTGGCATTAGCCCCTTTCGACATAAGAATTCAATTTTCGAACTACCCCAGTGAGTCAATTAAGCCTAGGGAAAAAGGAATTAGAGAGCATGGGGATGGAGGGCATGGAAATGAAGGAAAAACCCATTATCATTCATTTCTTTTTCTTTAACAGTCACTTAAAAGTTAAAAATTAAGGATAATCTCAGATCCCAATAATGGTGGAAATAAAAACTGAGATATACAGAATGAACTCTCAGACAAGTTTCAAAGAAAGAAAGAAAGGGGGGATAGCATTTATTATGGGAGATCACAGTTAAGTGCAGACATGGGGGGTGCATTTTACTGGGTTGTTTGAGCAGTTTGGGGTCTGGTGGTTTTTGTTAGTCACCAGGCTCAGTGGCTGGTGAGTCACCCTGCAGGGTTTCTTGTTATATTGTGATAAAGGACAAGCTTGTGCCATACATTGTCTATAAGGGAAAAGGGACACTTGCTGGGTTATCAGGTTATGAATTAAGGGCATGAGAAACTTTTATTTTCTTGTCCCCATGAGAATTCCTAGTTTCCTTTCCCCCATCTTATTTTACTTTATCTTGTGCCTGTGTGTGTGTGTGTGTGTGTGTACATGCAGAGGTCAGTTTTCTCCTTTCTATCTTGTGGGTCCCAGGGATCAAACTCAGGTCATCCAGCTTTCAAGGAAGCACAGAGTCCTCTTAGCATTTCTTTTGTGGGAAGAGTGTCCCTTCCCACAAGATGCTTTGTTAGCATCTTAGTGCTCTTACCTGCTGAGCTGTATCACCAGCACTATATGAACTCTGTTATTTTAGGGACAGCATATTAAATACACTATCAGTGACCTCCTACATCTCAAAAGAAATGATTAAATGCAGTTAAGTTCTACTCACCAGCCCATACTCTATAGAAACCTTTCTATATCATACTGGGAAAGAAAAATGCTTATTAATTTTGTTCTGAAAATTCAAGTGGGTGATCAACTAAAGTCTTCAAAACCTGCCAGCTCCCAATGTTGTTGCCACTGACAACAAACAGGATATCATGGTCTTCTTCCTTGTGCAAGGCTGTGGTCCCAAGCCTAGTCTGAGGACCAATAGAAAAGGCAGTATTAAGACTAAGGATATAGGCCAGCCTGACCCCTACCGAGGTGAGTGTACCCTCTGCTCCTGTCCTTTTCCTACCCAACTTCCCATTTACCCCGGATCTCTCTGGGCCTGCGCCTGCTTAGAGTGGACCCACCCAGGCAGGGAGGAGCTCCCTGAGTCTGGAAACACCTCACTCTTCCTTCTCCCTCTGTTGGCCTGACCCCTACTGAGCCTGACCCCTACTGAGTGAGCAGACTACCAGGAGAGGCAAGACCATCCAGAGCTGCAGACATTAAAGTCTTGGCCCACACACACCACCAGGTGACAAGAGGAGATAGAGAGACCCCACCTGCACCCACTGGAAGAAGAGATGGGAAGAAGACAGAATAAGAACACACTCAACAACGAAGAGGCCAATATGACACCACCAGAATCTAGGGACGCCACACCAGCAAGATCTGAAAAGCTCAACACAGAGGATGAAGAAGAGATGGACCTCAAAAATTATCTTAGGAAGATGATAGAGACCTTTAAAGTGGAAACAAGAAAATCCCTTAAAGAAATAGAAGAAAAAAACAAGCAAAAAATTACATGAAATGGAGGAAAAGACAAACCAAAAAATTCAAGAAATAAACAAATCTCTTAAAGAATCTAAAGAAAGCCAAGAGAAAACAACCAAACAAGTGAAGGAAACAATTGAAACAGTTCAAGGCATGAAAGCTGAAATAGAAACAATAAAAAAAACAGAATGAGGGGATGCTGGAAATAGAAAGACTGGATAAATGATCAGGAACTAAAGATGTGAGTATAACCAATAGAATTCAAGAGATGGAAGAGAGAATCTCAGCTATTGAAGACTCCCCTGGTGTAAGAAAGGATTTTGGACACATGGGGGAGGGCCTAGACCTGGCCCAGGATGATATGGTGGACTTTGGGGAGCCCCTGTCGAGTGCCCTACCCAGCCTGGGGAGTGGAAGGTGGATGGGGTAGGGGGCAGGTGGAAAGTTGGGGGGAGGGTTGGGGGAGAGGGAAAAGGGATTGACATGTGAAGCAAGCTTGTTCCTAACTTGAACTAATAAAAAAATTACAAAAAAAAAAAGACTGATGATGTAGCTCAGTTGGTATAGTGCATGGCTAGCACACACAAAGCCCTGGGTTCAATCCACACCACTGCATAAACTTGGTGTCTGGTACATGCCTGTAATCCCAGCACTCAGGAGGTGAGAGCAGGAGGATCTCAAGTTCTAGGTCATCATCACAGCTGTATAGTAAGTTCAAGACCAGCCAAGGAGACATAAGACACTGTAGAAAAGAAAAGGAAGAGAAGAGGAGAGAGGATGGACCATTTGGTTTTCCAATCAAGTGATGTCAGGCAGTGTTCAATTTCACAGTTTATACAAGGAAAATGAGTGTCCAAGTGTAAATGTGCCCAATTTCTAGCTAGCACCCCTGGCCTGTCATGTCCCTCTCATCATGTACACAGTGCCTTGCCTCTAAGCCCCTGTGGGAACCTGGAGGCATAGACAACACAGGAGTATGTTCAAGATGCTTGTTGTTGCCCCTGTAGGGTTTCCTCAGCTTCCAGCATCTCATCTTTTGTAAACACTCCATGGTTTTTCAGCTGCTCTAAAGGCCCTATCAGACTTATCTCTGAGTGTTCAATTGAAAACTGGCTACTTCAATATTCTGCTGTTGAAGAAGCTTGATATAGCTTTCCCTTCTCCCTAAAAACTGCAAAATAGACATCGAGCTACCAGGAAGATTCTTAGAACTTATACCATCAGATTGGCTGTGAATATGATCTCTGTTGAATGGTATACCCTGCTAGGGAGGCAGGGCTAAAAGCTTTAACTGCCATCCTCCACAGAACAGAGGAGTGGCCTGTTCTCATCAACGCTTCCAACTAGGTCAAGTTGAAGTATCACATTTCCTTACCAACAGCCCTTTATTATATTCTCTTCCTTCTAGTTAAGAAAAGTACACTATCAATCCTGTGACTTGTGTTTCTCCCACTGAACAGCCAGCATTGTTCCAAGCACACAGTATGGCTCAATAAATGTTTTTGGAAGTAAATGGAATTGATGCCTTCCTTTATGAGCTTCTTGCCAAAGAATCCATTTGTTTCAAGAACTCTTTGTAGACAACTCACAGGATTATAAATGGTGGCTCACAACTGCCTGTAACTCCAGCTATAGAGAATTATATTATTAACTACAATTTATAATGCAATATAGATTATCACAACTGATACATAATTATCACAAGTGATGATGCAAGAGATCAAAAAGGTGATTGCTAACGTTTTTAAATGCTTTCAAGCTATAAAGAGATATGGAATGAAGCTTTCTATTGTATTTTGTTCTTATTTGTGTTTGGTTGATTGGTTGGGTTTTTGTTTGTTTGTTTGGGTAGTTGGTTGGGGTTTTGGGGTTTTTTTGTTTGTTTGTTTGTTTGTTTTGGTTTTTCAAGACAGGGTTTCTCTGTGTAGCCCTGGCTGTCCTGGAACTTTTGCTTTGTAGACCAGGCTGGCCTCGAACTCAGAGATATGCCTGCCTCTGTGTCCTGAGTGCTGGGATGAAAAAACATTCGCCACCATGCCCAGTTGCTGTATATTCTATTTTATGATTAAAATTTTGAGCCATGGCCCAGTGGTGGTGGCGTTCACCTTTAATCCCTGCACTCAGGAGGCAGAGGTAGGGAGGCCAGCCTGGTCTCCAGAGTTCCAGGACAGCCAAGGCTACACAGAGAAACCCTGTGTCAAAACACCAAGGGGAAAAAAGAGGTGGGAGGAGGTAGAGCACCAGGAAAGAGTCTGTGGGGGTACATCTCGTCCCAGGACTCTCGGTCTCTCCTTACTTCTGATGTCCACGAGGCAAGCAGCTGTGCTCCACCAAACCCATTCAACATGCCGTACTGCTTCACCACAGGCCCAGAGACATCAAAGTGATGTCAGCTGAAACCATGAGCCACATTGTGCCTGTGAGTGCAGGGTCCACAGAGGACAAAGGGTCCTCTAGCGCTGCAGTTACAGGCAGTTTGGGAGCCACCTGATGTGGATTCTGGAAACCAAACATGGGTCCTCTGGAAAATCAGTACTTACTTTTAACCACTGAGCCAAGCATTTTTAACACGTGGATGTATAAGCTATTTCAACACACAGATTGTAGTTTATTTTAAATTTCTATGACACAGTCACCATGAGGGACTTATTATTGGTCTTTGAAACTTTGATCACCATTAGAAACAGTAAGTAATTTAATGGATTCATAAGCAGAATTTTAAGTTGAATCAAACCAGTTCTCAAAACAGACAAAACTCCAGTGTTA